TTGGGTTGCTCCATGGACGACTATGTCATCGAAATAAGCTTCACACTTATTAAGTCCATTGAGGATTTGTGACAAAATTCTGTTGAATTCTGAGGGAGCGGTTTTTATGCCAAAACTGAGACGGTTCATGAGAAAGGTTCCCTTATGTGTTGACATAGTTTGGATTTCACTACTTTCTTTGTCTACTGCTAAATGTAAGTACGCTTTATAAAGGTCAAGTTTGCAAAAGTATTTGGAATTTCGGAGACTGTTAAGAACATCTTCAACCGTCCTTATAGGAAAATTAGCCGAGACTAACCTCTCGTTTACACCGCACTTGTAATCCACACAAAGTCTCAGTCCACCATCTGGTTTGGGAATGATGACGAGAGGTGATCCCCAGTCACTTGTCGCAATCGGAGTGATGATTCCCTCTTTTTCTAAAGATTCCAACTCCTTTTCAACACGTTCTCTAAGTGCATATGGGACATCACGTTCTTTTGTAAATACCGGTTTTGCGTCATCTCGTAAAGTTAATGAAACTTGAATGTTAGGAACACAACCAATTTTTTCCTCAAAAATTGAAGCAAACTCATTCAGAATGTTATTAATATCTTGAAAGTTCTTTCTGTCGCCATCAACCAAATGGACTTTTGGATTAGTTTTCATGTCATGATCGATTTGTTTTAGTTCAATGTCGAAAGCACGGATCAAATCTCTACCTAAAATAGGATCGTGGCCTGATGAAACTACATACACTTCTGCTTTTAAAGATCGTTCTTTATATTGTAATGTAACTTTTGCTTTTCCTTTACATGGCACGATATCATTGGAATAAGCTCGAAAATTTAGATTTGAAGGTTGAAGATCTATTCCCAAATTCAATGCTAAGAACTTATCCTCTGGTAAAATTGTGTACCGTGCGCCAGAATCTACTTCCATCTTCAGTTTCTTGTGGTTTATCGCTACCTCTACTATGTACTTTCCATGTCCAGGTTCAATTTCGTAGAGGTTGATGATTTTCTGATCTTTGGATACTGAACTGATTAAATTGCATACCCCGTAGGAACAATCAGATTGTGAGTCATTGATCATATCATTGTCAGAGAATCGGTTAACTTGTTTACTTGAAGCATATTTCTTGGTCAGGGTATTGATGCAAACTTTTTGAATGTGGTCATTCTTCTTACATGCTTCACAGAATAGTTTTTCACGCCTTATTCGACACTGGTTTGATCGGTGGTTAGATGTTCCACATCTGAAGCAAAGATTGTTGATTCCTAAGGACTCATAATCGATTCTTTGGCTTGATCGATGCTTGTATGATGGCTTTTTCCAGGGAGATGATGTTGATGATGATGATGATGATGTCCGAGTGGATGGATGATCGTGTCTAGTGGTCTTCTGAATTTTCATTATATCTGGCACTGAAGAACTAGGGATCAGAGGTTTTGAAATGTTTGAAAGTTCCTTGCACTGGATTTGGGCTGCTTCAAGAGCTATAGCTCTCCTGACTATTTCATCAAAGTTCTCTTCCTTTCCTTGTAAAAGTTGTTCTCGAATGCTATTATCACGAATGCCCCTAATGAATTGAGCCCTTAAGAAAATGTGAGCTGTTGAAATGTTTTCTCTGCATTCACATTTTATGTAAAATTCACAGTCAGCAAGTCGTTTTTGCAAACTTGCAACATAGTCAGGTATGTTTTCACTTTCTGATTGGTAAGTGGAGAAAACGTAATGCTGCGACACTACAGTATTCTTTTTAGGCGATAGCATTTCGCCAAAGGTTTCAACTAGCTGTTCATATTCCAAGTCTTTGATTTTCTTTGTAGGTCCTTTGAATGCAACTAAGTTGTTGTAATGGATAGAACGGATTGATGCACATAGAATTTGAGCTTTTTTAGTTTTGTTTGACACATTCTTCATGCTGAGATAGTTTTCAAATCGTTCAATATAGGCTGAAAATCTTTCTTTTTCTGAGTTGTAACTTTCAAATTGAGCAGTTGGATCTGTGCTATCTTTCATTTTTTGTTCTAGTTTCTCAAACAACAGAAATAGAAGATCCATTTGTTGCTGTGCTATCTTTCATTTTTGTTCTAGTCTCTCAAACAACAGAAATAGAAGATCCATTTGTTGTTTCTGGCCTTCTATGAATTTGTCAAATTGTTCTGAGTTCATTTTGTTGTTGTAACTTGAATGTTCCTAAGCCTGAGATGTAGTTATTGTTATTTGAAGAAAAGGTAATTGAAAAAAATGTAACTGGTCATTAATGTATGAATAAACAAATTTATACTTTTACCTCGTCGCCAAAACTGTTGTAACTCTTTATAACATAATAAAAGAGTACCGGGGGACCGAGCCATGGCTCGGTATAGTTGATTTCGATTGTAAAAGCAATATAAAGGCAACTTAAGTGTTGCTAAAGCAATATCTTTAGGCCAGCTGTGTTTTATTATTATCAGGTTAACCACAATATGACTTTAACTTATCCACGGATTTCACAATATCAAGTCTTATTTACAACTAATTTCGGACTTAATTATTTAACTTCAAGTAGAATTTCCATTTATTATGATGGAAAATTTAACCTGACAATCCACAACAAATTATTTTATTTTACAGTCAATGGCAAAAACCTCATATAGAGGAACTTCAATTATTACTATTGAGCAAAGATTATACTGAAAATTAATCAATATATAAGGGAAAATATCCCCTATATAGATAAATTAGTGTAATCTTTGCTCAATAGTAACATGATGTTTCCCCCTTTGTACTGTAAATTGTAGTCACAATATGTTACAAGTCTTTTGTTTTTCTTTTTACTTATTATTATGTTCAAACAACATAACTACTTAGCAGCCCATGTGGCAAATGTTAAATTTGTATATTGTTACTAGCTGACCCGGCGAACTTCGTATCGCCTAAGTTATAGGTTTCCCCTAAGACAGACCGATGGAAAGAAAGTACCGTTACGTTTAATTTTCAAGATGATCTCGTTCGCATCGCTCAATCACGTCCTGGTTGAAGTTCGTTCGCTACGCTCACTCACCTTTGGGTTGGAGCTCGTTCGCTACGCTCACTCACCTTTAGGTTGGAGCTCGTTCGCTGCGCTCACTTGCCTTCATGTTAGCTCGTTCGCTACGCTAAATCGCCTCCAGGTTGAAGTTCGTTCGCTACGCTCACTCACCTTTTGGTTGCAAATTAGCTGTTGTCATAAATGTAAAAGAAATAATAGTGCTGCACCCTGTTGGTAATCCTTGTAACTTTAATGCTATTGAACATCATAGAACAGAACCAACTTGTTTAATTTGAAACAGCTGTTAAGATTCATTAATTCCATTTCTCATAAGGTTAACATGGGAAACTCCAGAGCCACTGGGGCGGAGCCCTTTTAAGAATTTCGAAACGGGAAATAGTTTACGTCCGATTCGCATACATACAGAATTTACACACCAAATTTCATAACGATCGGTGAAGTCGTTCCGGAGGAGTTTGCAGACAAACACTGTGACACGAGAATTTTATATATTAGATATTGAGTTGTATAGTGAAATGCGAATTTGCCTTAGATGTTGGTGGTCGTCAATTACGTTTTTAGGCTAGAAATAAATTATTTCCGACATTTAAAGGCTGTTGTCAAAGCCGTTTTCAAGTACTTTGTGAAATTATACATACAAGCAAATAAGACAAATAATAAGACATTTTTTAGACATTCAACAAAATTACAAAATTTTTCAATAAACAGTTGTATATGATTCACATTGATAAACAAGCAACATTAAATTGAGCTAACATCACAAAAAACCATGTAATGTTTAAAATCTAAAATTGGGCTAGGCTTGAAGACTCTATTTTAATATTTAAAAATTCATCCAATGTATAAAATGGGTTCAATTGTAACCAATTATACAATCTATTTAATGCTTTTTTAAGCAAACTCTGAAAAGTCAATGGTAACTTGTTGAAAAATGTTACACCTAAATTAACATGATAATTAATTGATTTACTTAACCTAAACCTTTGTTGATCTAATTTATTCCTAAATCTGATTACATGATCATGTATTTTTTCTCTGACAGAAAACATATTTAAATTAATTTTGACAAACATCAATACCTCTAAAATATACAAGTGTACAATAGTCAGGGTCCCCGATGAGACAAAAAGTGGCCTGGAGCGGGCTAACCTTTCTGAGTCCGGCAAAACTCTAACAGCTTTTTTTTGTTTGATTAAATTTTTTTAAATTCCAACTCCGTTACTCCAGATTATCCACCAGATAACACTTTCATAAAAAGCAAAATATGCCATTTTCAAGTATTTACTGGAAACATGTCTTTTTAGATTTATTAACAAATGTACAACTCTGGGCAATTTATTATTTACAAAATTAATATGGTCAGACTATGACAGCTTACAGTCTACTTTTATACCAAGTAATGTTATAAAATTTTCATAATCGTGAACAAATTGATGGTTTTCATGATTCTTTTTCAAGGTCACCAATATTCTCTGTGTTTTTTAGAATTTAAAAACAATCCATTTACTGTAAACCATTCTTCAGCATCTTTAAAAACAGAATTGGCAACATTTTCCATACAATCTAAATCTCTATGGCTAACAAGTAAAGAGGTGTCATCAGCATAAATTGTTGACTTACAATCTAAATTGAAACTAATGTCATTAATTAAAATTAAAAACAAAATGTGGCCCATAACCGAACCCTGCGGTACCCCGACCTTTGACCTTGCTGTTTTTGATCTGCAAGCAAACATTGCTCACATAAGAATATAAGATTATTATATAAAAATGAAATATTCCAAAATATTTCAATACATTTAAAGTATCCCTAAAGAGCAGAGCAAGTAAAGAACTTGCCTGCATCTGATACAGTACAATGCATACCTTCAATAAAACTAACAATCAAAGAAAATGTTTACAACAAAACAAATAAAAAATAGTGCAAGAAAAATAGAATTTCATAATATAACAAAAGTCTTTTCTCAAATGCACGAACCACATCAATTAAAAACTTCGGTCCACACTACGTTGCGTGTGCGACCACCTGTTTCTGGCGGTACCACCACTTTCAATGCACTTCTACGCTTTACCCTTGAAAATGCAACGTATAGCATGCCATGCATGAATACAGGCGTTTGTAGCACGACGCCGACATATTTAAATGTTTGCCCTTGCGATTTATGTATTGTCATCGCAAAGGCTGGCCGAATAGGGAATTGGTGTCTTTGTAGTGAACACCCTAGCTGAGACTTGCATGAATCAAGGGTGATTCTTGGTATGTGCACGTCTCGGCCAGAGTGTTCACCAGTGATGATCTTGGCTTTTATTATGTTAGGACAGAGTGCTGTAACTATCAGTCTAGTGCCATTGCACAGACCCTCTGAGACGTCAAGGTTACGAAGGAGCATGATAATGGTATTACTTTTTAGTCTGAGCTGGTGTGGTGGTAGGTCTGAAATCTCGATAGAGTTTAGGAATTCTGGAGGGAACTTTAAGGCACCTTCTGGTTCATCTTTAATTGAATCGTAACTTTTATAAATGGTCTCGGTTCCAGGAATTAAATTGATAACGGTGTTGTTAATTGTGTCGACGTCCTTGTTTAGGGGTGCAAGAATTGCTCGATCCTTCATGTCCTCAAAGTTTCCGTCGGAGAGACATTCTCCATAGATCTCGTTAACAATGTCATTAGTATTAGTGATGATGTCATTAGGGAGTTCAATTTCACTATCAGCGTTGGTATCAAGCTCTCCATTTCCAAGTTTCAGTAGGTACCTAGCAAAGCACTCCTCTTCCGCATCAACTCTCATATTTTGTTCCAGAGAGAAAACCCTGAAGTACCTCCAGAGAACACTTTTCTTGATGGAAAGGTCTAGAAGTTCGGTACGATTTGCCCTTGGCTGGACCGGTAGACACTGTCGAAAATCTCCTCCTAAAATCATTATTTTCCCGCCAAATGGGGAGTTCCTGTCACCTAGATCACGAAGGAGCTCGTCCATGCAGTCAAGACCGTATTTAGGAAGCATTGGTGCTTCATCCATCATGAACATGTTGACTGCTTCCAATTCCTTGAATTTTGAAGATCCACGTTTGATTGATGATTTTGAATCATTAGTCAAAGGAACTTTAAGACCAAATGTCTTGTGGGTTGTGCGTCCTTCTGGCAGAAGTATGGATGCAATGCCTGTAAATGCCATGCATTTAACAATGATGTTTCGACTTCGGCAGAGGTGGTACAAGGTATTGTAGACAAATGTTTTCCCTGTACCTCCAGGTCCATCAAGGAAGAAACATTTTGGTCCTGAAAACAAATCAATTCATGTGTACTATCACAACATTATGTTTTGTTACTGTCAGGATTTTAAAACTGGTGACATTGTTTGAATAGTATAAAGAAAGATAGTATACAAAATTGAAGCTAAAAAATGAATTAAATCAGATGACATTGATTAAAAACAAAAATGTACAATTTACAGTTAACTTCATTATTATCCTAGCTTATATTATCCAAGTCTGCGGGTTTCTAAAAGCTGATGCAGTAGGATTCTGTTTTTTTTTTGTTCTTTTTTTTGCAACAAATAATATGTGTTAACCATATGTTTTATTTCAAAACTGAAACTGTATTTTGATAACTAACTATGTCATTTACTTGTAAATAAAAAAAGGCTTGACCATTATTTAAATAGTTTCAAAACATACTTTTCTAAATATTGAAGTAACCTCCCTATTATTCAAGGTTATTGGTATCCTACACGATTACTAGAAAAATACCCGGTATGGATCATAAACATCAACAAATGACGTTTTTGGGCCGAAAATAAACATTATTTAACATTGGTTAAATGGAATTGCTAAAACATATGTTCAATGCTATTAGTGGTATCCTAGGTATTCTCGCACCTGAATTTCTCAGTTTATTACAGTGTACTGTACCTGAACTCTCATCATCAAGTGTTTGGATGACAGCATCAACAAATTCCTTCTGTTTATCATTGAGGTTGTTGTAGAGGCGATGGCCAATTTCATGAGATTGCCCTACGTTAAAAACCTCCTCATTCATCTCGAAGTCGTTAATATCATCCATTCCATAGTTCTCTACCCAAAAACGGAAGTTGCGTCCTAAAATAAGCACGTTTAAGTGTTAAAAATTTCTAGAAAGTGTCATTTAAGTTTTTGGAACACATCACAAATAACGATAAGTTAATAAAGCTGAAAGAATTTGGGTAAATAATTGGGAGTAATTATAGGTGATCAATCACCACCCAAAGGCTCAAAATGTTTGTTATTAAGACGATTTATTTTGCTGGAAGATCCGCAATTATGTATGTTTCAAGGTCGATATCTCCCAAATTAAAGTACTGTTTACAACAATGGTTAGAATAATGTGTGTCATGAATGTATTATTCATGAGTGAATAATATGATTAAATGGGGTTTGTGCTCTCTTATTTAAAACACACACTAATTTCCAACCCTTTTTTTATATTAAATTAACATATTTTAGGTTAGTTTTTAAAGACTGTTATAAAAATATCTGCAAAGGTTTGATTCTGAAATCATCTGTTTTTTATAAATTTGTGATTAATAAATAATAGTAAGGACTGTATTAGACCATCTTTGTTAATTATTTTGAAATGACTTTTAAAGACATTAAAATAATTGAATATTGATATGGTATTATGTATGAAATGTTGAAGGAATTCACTAAAGATTGATATTTAACTTTGGTAGACCAATAGGCAACATTCATTGACCATCGGCTTGGCTTAACCTACTCGCTGTCAGTTTAAGAGAAAGATATTATCATTTAAAATAAAATATAAATAAATATATTACAAATTTTGAAGGGGTATTCACTCAAAATAAACTTAATTTAAGTTTTGTAATATGTAATATTTATAAGTAGATTATTACCTTCTGTAGCTTCAGTATTTAGCTTGTAAGCTATGATTCTATATGCTCTGTTGTAAGCATCTTCTAGAGGGGTTCAAGAAATCTCTGCTTCTCTAAGAAAATCTTCTGCCAACTCGTTCTTAAACATATCCCAGAGACGTTTAGGGTTTTCTGGTGATCCGAGAATTAAGATTTGACAAAAGAGTGTCCTCATGACACTCGGCATCTTTGATAAAGCGGATTCCCGCAGACCATCAATCCATTGCCGGTCATCATATGTTAGGCCTTTTGCTAGGCATGCTTGTTTGTAAGTGGAATAGGCAGTCCCATTTACAAATTTAAGGTCTTCAAAACTTTTGGCATCTTTGGTGTGAAAGAGGAGCATTCTTAAGTGATAAAGTTCCGGTTGGGCTACCAAGTTCACGATGTGGATCCTTCCAATAGTTTTTGAGCTTCGCTGTCGTACCACCCTTTCACTTGTTTTGCCTAACCATTTGTACTTTTCTGGCATCTGCCAGTAGAAGTAGTAGTTTACTTCATTCCCATTCTCTTCTTCAATGTGAAGTTTAGAGTTGTGTTTAAAGTACGCCTCTAAGGTGGACCCTTTCAGGCCAGTGTCTGCTACATCTTCTTGTGTCTGTTCCATGTTTCCCACACGGTACTGACCTTCTAGATGGATGTCCAAACGTTGCACCGAATGGCTTTTCCTTTGGATTTCATTTCCAGCCAGCCTCCAACATGCTTCAGGGGGCGAAATATAACGTGCCTCAACAAACGTTTCAGCTTCATTATACATTATTCGGGCCACATTTTCAACAATTTATACATTTGCGCAGTCATGCCCTTTATAAATGTATTTATAGAGGTACTTAACGGCTCTAACACTACCAACATATTCAATATTAATGTGACACATGTATTTCTTCAATAAATAGCCATTGTATGGAGCAACGTGTCTATTGTCCCGTGTAACTTTTTGTCCATCACTGTTTTTACGGTACACCGCATGGACGTGCGAAAATTCTGGGTTATTCGGATCCAGTTGTGGGCAGGGCCGGACTTACCTATGGGCGAAGAGGGCGAACGCCCGGGGCCCCCGGGCCAAGGGGGGCCCTGACAGGGCCCCCTTTGTACATTAGTTTTTATCATTAACTTCGAAAATTGATCAGACACTTAACAAATGGCCTTCTTTTGTAACAGCTTTATTTTTATTTTCGCTATCCTATGTTTAAAGTTATTGTTAGGTGCATTTTAAGGCATTACTAGGAATGAGATTCTTGACCCTAAGGGACTTTTTCTCAGAGTTGCACTGGGCCCTACGCTTAGGCCTGGTTTACATGAGCTGAGCATATGTGCTAGGCTGTGACCACAGAAAACATACTTCTATAACCCAGAATGCCAACCGCATGGTAAAAAGCATTAAGTGTTTTGAGAGAGCTTTGCCTGTCAATCGTAGGCAGCGCCACCAGCGTTGCTATGCTGAGTGAATGGCAACGCTGGTGGCGCTGCCTACGATTGACAGGCAAAGCTCTCTCAAAAACACTTGATGCTTTTTACCACGCGGTTGGCATTCTGGGTTATAGTAGTATGTTTTCTGTGGCTGTGACGGACAAGTTTCAGTTTCAATGAAGCCGCTCGCCTGAACGTACGGCCGCGGCGAATGAGTTGAAGGGGGTCCCGCGCTTGGGGCAAAAATACAATAAATATGAAAACTCTTGTCCCAACGTAGAACGTAACTTGTAAAATTGTATTGTGTTAAATGGAGATTCACTGGAGTTCAAATACTTTTAAAAATAAAAACATTGCTCCGTTTATGTTTTATTAAATGTTATTCTTTTCTTTTACCTCTAAGTATATACCAATCAGGATTTTAAGGGGTAGAAGTGTATTATCCGTTCAATTGAAAGGTTTTGTAAAATAGTAATTAATTAAGTTATGCGTCCAAATTTTGATCTCCAATTTAGTCTTTGGAGTCAAAATCATATACTGTAGCACCAGTAAGATTTTTAAATCTATATAGACACTTTAAAACAACTAGAGTCGTCTGATGTTAACAAAAAATTACATTTATTGGGATTGGGCGAGCGTTGTCGTATGAAATCGTAAATAAGCGAATAAGCAGAAGCAGCTGCAACAATAAATGATAATGAGCTGATAAGGGATCCTGTCTAGTCCTGTCTCTCACGCACGCGCATACACACACATAAAATGCCTTATCGCCTATCCAAAACAATTTAAATCACTTTACTCCCATAGTTTGTCCTTTGAGACTAGTGGTCACGTCAAGTTGGTTGAAATTGTCTTACTTTTGTGTTATTTTATTGTAATTCTGCAAACTAACAGTACAAAAACAAAGCTGAAGTGAGTAATGTTGTATTCAATGCTATGTTTGTGTTGTATTAGGTAATCGATATTGGATCCATTTAAACATCTTTCAGTTACTCATATAAATACTTAGCTTGTGAGTGTTTATTAGACATTGCAAGATTTTGCTCCTCAATAAAAAAACTCAAACTTGAAAGTCCCCAATGGTACTTTTCATGCTAGGACTTTAACATATTATAAAAACGAGAATGCCATAGGTACCAAAACCATTATGAAAATAAAATAATCACACCTATATTGTAGTAATATTGAAAAACCATACAAATCGACGGCAATAATCGATAATTTAAATACGTAATAAACAAAAATATATCAATACTTCTTATCCAAATATATTATGGTAGCCTACCATGATACCATACCAAATATGCCGTCACTGGTACTATAAAGCAATACATTTTTATTTTTGTGTATAAAATTAAAATATGCTGTATATAAAAATATGTTAAAATAGTTATATTTTAAGAAAATTTTTTTATATAGAACTTATTGCTTATTTGGCCTTAAATTGCTCTATTTGAAGCCTAAATTTAGAAAATTTTCCCGGGGGAGGACCCCCTAATCCCACTGGAGGACCCCCCCCCGAACTGAAATCCTAGGGCCCCATTGGAAAATTTGCCCGGGGCCCCTGAAGTCGTAAGTCCGGCCCTGGTTGTGGGTCATACCGTCTCTTGTAATTCGGGTTTTTGTTGTCAACAATTGACGTAAACTCTTGATGAGCTTTGGGGAATCCAAAGCGGCATTTAGGAGATCCACCCTTATTCTCCATACATGACGCAGACGGATTAAGTTCGCCACATGGGTTGTGAATCATCCATTTGAGGACCAACTCCCTTAGAACTGGGTCATCATTAGGAATTTCTGCCGAAATGAAAGTGTCTACTTCCTCTGGAGACCGGAGTTTGTCTTCATTTGCCATGATGACAAGAAGATGTAGGTGGGGTAATCCTCGTTTTTGAAATTCTATAGTGTAAACAAAAGCAGAAGACTTCCCAAAAATCTGTTTCTTACTTATATCTTCAATTATGCTGTCAAATTTCAATTTGGCTACCCTAGCCACAATGTCAGGTCTTTCCTGGGCGAACTGTTAAAGATTAGAAACCATCAGAGAGCTCAATACATGCAGCTTCTTTTAATTCTGGCCATGTTGGACTGCACGTTATTGTGATGAAAAAGTCTGGAGAGCCAAACCTTCGGACAATTGCCATAGCGTCTTCAAAGTGTTCGGTGAAATACCTAGTTGATCCGGGAAAAGATTATGGTAAAATCAATTTTTCAGCAACTGTAGCATTTTTCTTTTCAGCCAATTCATTTAGAAAATGTGTTACTCCTGCATACTGATCAGCTTGAAGTTTCTTTTGGTTGTATTTGATCCACTGAATACGATCACGTTCAACACGGATGTATGTGTCCACGACGTACTGTTGAAACAGTCTACCACCAAAGTGGAGAGCATTAAATCCAATTTACCTTAGATCTAATCCCTCTAGCAATGGTTCAGGAGGAAGAACCTTGGCTTGTTCTGGACGAAAGGCTAACCTGTATTGAGCCAACTCCATCCTCGTCATGTGTGCACGGCTTGCATAAGGCGTTTGAAGTGGAAGCCCTACAGAAAATCCAAAAGTTCCTTTTGGGTAGAGGAGAGGGTAGGTGAATGGTTCTACTCGGCTGTCAATGTTCTTGAGCGTTATTAAGTGTTTTCCTCGCTCCTTAATAACCATCTCATTTTCCGGGATGCTTTGGTCTGCATTTAATGTAATTACAGCAGCAACTTCATTATAAGTTGGTGAGTTGAATCGCCTGGGATCATCGCCTAAAAGTAAACATCGTAAATTAATGATATGAAAAACAAAAAATCTTAACTTTAATCATTATTTAGTTCTAAGAGAAAAATGACAAAAAATGTACATTCCATATTTTTCTCTTATATAACTTTACTCTTGAAACATACCCGTATAGTTTTGCCGAAGTTTAAAGATTATTCATTTAAAAAATTAAAAAAAGACTGAATTAATTGTTGAGTATTCATTTAATCCAGTAAATGAATGATAGTATTTGACGACTCATCAAAAATACAAATGTACGAAAATCCTCTTTTCAATAAAGTTGTTTTGATGAAATTATTGATTATAAAAACCTCATTCAGAAAAATGTCAAGTTTATAAATTGCGTTACGCTTAATAACAAAGTTTGGTATGTCAAAAAAATTAATGCCGCACTCTTAATTGTTCAAAGCTACTTTATTAATGATCGTAGACAAATTAAACTGGTGCCATCTGAAAGAGCAGAGATTACCAAGTTTTGTTTTTATCATTTTAACAGGCTGTTGTAGTCATTCTTACATGTAATCTAGAATAGCTACGGAGAAGAGAAGAGAAAAGAAATAAAAATGGCTACGGCGCGTTTGCTTATGCTTATGTGGAAGTTTTCAGAGTTTAGTAATGAGATTGCAGAAAATAGTTATTTGTGCAATAGCAACCACAAATAACATACAAAATAATTGTAATTAGAGAAAACAGTATTATTTTACCTGCACGTTCAGCAAACAGGAGGTGGACGTGGGGTGGTTGGACACCAAGAGCTTCAGCACGTTGATTGTTTTCCTCAACAATCTCTTTCATCATCATAAAAGCCTGTGAAAATGGGTTTTGACTTCTCATGACCTCCTCTAAAATCTGTATTAGTTCTTGATTCATGCCTTGATTCGTTGGTTCATTCATACGTTCTGCAACGGCTGCTTCCGGGTCAATGAAGTACATTTGGCCATATCTAGGTCTTTCCAAATCACCCTCACTGTTGCTGACTGGCTGAGCCGCCAAATTTAACTTGTGATACACTTGTCCACCAGCAGTAAATGTATAAATACCTTTACTATTGAAAGTCCTGTCATCAGCAACATTGAATGAAGAAAAAGCAAAACAGGCAGAAATATTTCGAATTTTATCGTGGAACTGTTTGGCTAGTCTGTGTTGTTTTGTGTACAGCAATGCCAATTCATTGGGAAACTCTGGCGCAGGTTGTTCAATGCGACCATGAAGGCAACAGTCACCAAATGAATTAGGGTGAATTCTGTTCTGCACTCTCTCTTTTAAAAAATGAACAGCACCACAATGAACACATGCGATGTCAAACATTCCCAAATTGCTGTACTCTACGAGGCTTGAGGCAGCGGCTTTATAGGATTGAAGTTGGTTACGCTCAGAATTCTGTCGTATTTCAGCTGTACGACGACGCTGTTCTCGCAGGCGTTGAGCACGCTCGTCTACCACTTCAGCATCCCTGCGGTTGGCATCTCTTTGCCTCTGTTCTTCAAGACGTCGAACACGCTCGTCATCGTCCTCGGCGGCTCTGCGGATAGCGGCTGCTTGCCGCAGTTCTTCAAGCCGTCGAACACGCTCGTCTTCTTCTTCG